AGTGAGCTGTTGTTGTGGAAAGCTCCCGGAGGTGAGAATATAAAGTGTCTGGCTGTGAAGAGCGAGCTCGAGGAGTGAAATCAAGATTAATTAACTCTGTAAATGTAGGTTTTGTTTATAAAGGGACAACAGCTTCGCTCACTCTTCACTGTTCTTGAGAGAGGAATCACCCTCCAGTCACAGAGGCTATCAGTGACATTTACCTTTAGTCTGTCTCTCCTTGTTGAGAGCAGTCTAGTTAATTAATAGAATGTGACTGTACAATTGCTTCCACCCGGAGTTCTCTATTGTGTCCAATGGCAAGTCTCTGCAGTAATTGTGGTATAGTCAGAGAAACCTTGACCATTAGCGGCATTGTTATTATAGTATATATATATTTACTCTCATATATATATATATATATATATATATATAAGAGTAAAAGTGAAAACTATAAGAAAATAAATCTACTCAAGTCCAAATAAATGAAAAATGTACTTCATTATCAAAGTAAATGTACTTCATTACATCCTACCACTGCTCATAGTTGATATAAAGATACAAAAAAAACATTGAACAATCATTTATTCATCTTTACTAAATCTCCACTTTCTTCACATAGGATGTCATGTGTTGTGGACTCTGAAGCTTAGTAGACAAACTCAGTTCCAGCTAAATGTAGTGCTGTTGTTTCTTGAGAAGTTATTGATTGATTTTGGCAATGACTGTCTTTCTGAACATGCAACTGCTATTACTACAAAAATAAGACATGAAGTATTGAATTGAAGTGAATATTGCTGAAACATACCGATCAGCTGTTTTGGATCCTTGTTGAGTCATAAACCAAACGTCTCCTGCTGCTGCTGCTTCACATTCAAAGCTGTCTACCAACCAACAGGCTGAAGGATGTTATCCTGCTCCACAGTGAAAACACAAGAAAGAACTATTGCATGAAGGAGCAGCCACAGTGAGATGTCACATGGTCAGGTGGAGAGGTGGCGACGGAGAGAGCTACTGATGGTTAGGAAATCTTTATTAGCTATTGCCTTGCAATCATGACCAGCTAAATGCCAATGGCATGTTCTGTAATACGGTGGCAGTAGTCCCGTTCCTCTCCAGGACACTATTGAATAAGGAGAGATGACAACTGATTGACATAACGGCCACATTGTGCCACTACCTGTGATCTATATCAGTCTGACAGTGCATGACGATCTGGAAAGGATTTTAACAGCCACCAGAACAAAAAAGAAAGGAAGCTGGGATGGGATGGTATAGTTTAAGATAGAAAGGGACAGGATGGGATGGGAAAGAAAAGGTAAGGGATCGGATAGGGAAAAAATGGAATATGGAGCAAATCAGAAAAGTACATGAAGTGCATTCTTCACTTCGGAATATATAAATAGCATTGAGCTGTCATGCAAGTCAAAGTAAAAAAAATAAGACATTAAACGAGCTTGAAAATATGACTTTTTTATAGAGGTGGAGCTGCTGTGATTTATTCCCCTTAAATTATAATGACAGGGTGATGGTTAAACCCACAGTTCGGAGGCAGCCAGGTCTATCTACTCCTCAGCAAGTGTTACTAAAAGGTAGACTCCCTCTCTGATGAGAGCACTCTGGACAAGAGGGTCAGGTAATTGCAAAAAAGTCTTCATCATGTATTTTCTCAGCACTGCGCAGTGTAGACTTTGCACCCCCGGCAAACATCCCCTCACTCACTGATGTCCAGGTGGACTATCGGTGGTTATCCAATTATGTATTTACATGCAAATGAGATTGTCCGTTGTATAATTTTGTGCTTTTATGCAAATCAAGTTCACGTGACATCCTGAAGTTGCAACAACCTCTTGGTGCAGCCGACATTATACAATCCCCAGATCCAGAGGTGAGGACGCACACAGTAATTACAGCTTACGTTTTACGTTACGACTCAGAATGACTGAGGTAACTGACTGGGCCTTTTTTTTTTGTTTAATTCACAAGACAAGCAAAGGATTTTTTAAATGTATCTTTTGTATGAAGAAATTTAATTTTACCTTAACAACTGACTGATGACAGCTGTGGGGATGCAGCACTGTCTCTACAGGATGAGGCAATGTAATATCCACTCTCAGTCCAATATCTGTCTCTTTCATGGAATTTCTCTTTTGCTTGCTTTCTTTTTAGAGCACCTTGCAACCGCAGGTCAAAACAGTTCTCTAAATTAATGAGAACAGAACAAGCAATATAACAATGGCAACTATAAAATGTTTGCTGATAAGTTTTAATTGCAAAGGACAGTATGTTTTGCAGTAAGTGTTTATTATGATGTCAGCATTCTGCCTGATTATAACATGACTTTGTCTTAAATCAAGGCGTCACTGTCAGACAGCAGAGAGTGAAGTTACCAGGCACTTTACTACTGTTTACAATAGAGACAGTTTCTGTGGGTTAAAGGCACCTGCAGCTTTTCTGACTTGATTTATCAACTGTCAGCACGAATCCCTGCTGTTAACCTCCTGCAGCAGATGTTCACATTGGGCTCAGGCATTTGTTAATGTTGAAAGGATCACATGTGTGACCGGGGCTCATTTCCTGAACAATTTATTTTGTAGTGCTTTAATGATGTTTTCTATTTTTATTCGAGTTTTGATATCATCCATTCATTAGCTAAAGTGAAAATGCTTTAGAGGGTGATGGGAGTGGGGGCTGGAGCCAATCACAGCTGACATGGGGGCGAAAGGTGGCCTATCGTGCCACACAGGATCATATACTCTACGTCTAATTTAACAAGGCACTGCTAGAATCAAAGAGGGCAACTGTAACTATAATGACGGAATGAGGACAAGATACTGTATGTGAATATTCAGAATCTGTAGGTGAGGGACCAGATTTGGGGTCTGGACGCCTTCATTTATCTGCATCCATATGCAGGCAGCTGTTAATAGACAGTAGCCAATATGTCGACTGGAGCTGAAACACCTACTCGATTGTGTTTTATGTAAGGAAATGTTCAACTTGTGTAATAAAAGAATTTATGTAAGGCAAACGAAAGATAGAGTCTTGACCCATATATCCACTGTCTGTTTTCCCTCAGGGCTAATTCATCCTCAGATGATTGCTGCCGCACTCAGACATCAGTATAAACAATACATATCTGTAATTATTGTGCATTTGTGTAAAAATTTTTACAATTAACATCCAGGAGATTAAAAATGCGGAACAATCTCAAGTTCTCTTTCACCAACTCCTCCTAACAGTGAGCTCACACATATAGACCAGGTGATCTGCTTTGTGTGTCCATGGCTATTCTGGGCCCCATCTGGTCGCTGTAAAATCAGGATGAAACAGCCATACTATATATCTCTTTCACTGTATGCAATGAAGCCAGAGGTCCTCAGAGCACGCTGAGACACACATAAATTGAATTCAATAGCGAATTCCATTTGGGAACAGACGTTTCCTCGAGCCATCAGCACTGGTATCATAATGTGCAAAAGACTCCCAGTATGTTTCAGCCAGAACAATAGTGACTTCAAAGGCCCCTGTCTGAAAAGTGACTGTGAAGAATTATTTTCAGGCAAAGCTCAAGGTCACGTCCTCCTGAAAAGTTTCATACCAAAGAGTTTGTGTTGGATGCTTTTAGAGTATCCCTTAAAATGAACGCTGGTGAAAACATCTCTTCTTTCATCTTCTCTTTTCATAACGTCCCACTGGATCCCTGATCATGTGGTGTCCCCACTGACTATAAGGAAGGGAGGAGCATTCTAAATCTCCACGCAGCTTTTGAAGGCAACACGTGTAAACTTGTTATTGTCACAGAGTCTCTTCTTTGTGAAGGTTTGGGTTGAGATGTCACAAGATCATGACTGTTTATCTGACAGATACCGTTTGCCAACAAATCTCTAGGTTACACACTAGTGCTGCATCTATCAATTCTTCAATTGATTGACTTTTCAATAACTTGTTCAGATATTATGTTCAAGGAAATTGAGGAAATTTAATAATGAATTTTATAACGTGTGAAAAAAGAAAAACATAATATTTCAGAAGCTACACAAAGTTAATATTTGTCATTACTGTTTTAAAATGATTATAATTATTGTTTGATCCCCAAAATTGTTTGTCAATCGATTAATCAAATAGTCTTTGCGGTTCTCAGACACACCCTTCCTTATTGGTATAAAATATAAGTGTAAACTTTTTAGATTTAAAAATTTCAATATTTGGCTGTATGATCATTCCTGTAGGATTTGACACGTTCACATTTCAAAGCTGTAACTCAGGAACTTTTTGAGGAAGATGAATGATTTGCCCTTAGATTTGCCATCTCACACACATACACTGGCATGCAAGCTGCAGGCATAACAAGTGATAGCATTTTGGGTTCAGTGCTTCAAGGACATGTCCACGTGTGGAGAGGAGGAGGAGGAGATCGATCCACAAACTGTGTGATTAATGTATGACCTGCTCCACGTTCTGAGCCAGAGCCGCCCCACTTACATGTACATTATATACAGGATGTTCATTTTTTAAAAATACATCCATTGCACAGTAATGGTGCATGTCTATCTCGCTGTGTTGTACCTATGAATTCTTATATATGCGTGCATGCGTGCGTGCGTGCGTGCGTGCGTGCATGCGTGTGTGTGTATATATATATATTTATATAAATATACAGTATGTGTGCCATTTATGCTGTCAGTGTGACCTGTGGCGTTGCAGAGACTCCAGCGGCACTGCCAGCCAATAGCTTCCCTGTCAGAGCGCTGCCTTATCTGATGATCTATGAGCATGTGGCGCAGCAGTGAAACCAAGCCCATGTAGAGGAAGTATCACTTGATCATACCAGATCAGATTCCCCCCCCTCTGCCTTAACACATGACCTTGCAATTTATGGCACATACAATGCTGGGGGACGCATCGGGGAAACTTCCAGGTGAGACAGAGATTATGTAGGTTGGCTTGATCTGTTGTCTGTGTCAGTTCGGGAAAAAAAGACTGAGGAGTGGAGGTGAATGAATAATTCTCTCCCGCACTGTCGAGGTGCCTTTGAGTTACACTTAGAACTAACCCAGTGGAGGGTCTTAGATGCAGATGGAGGAAGACTGTTGACTACAATCCCCCATCTTCTCAAGACTTAATCATTGGGCTCCATTTGAATTAAATATTCTTAACCACGTGAGAGCATTCAGAAATCCCAAGCACCTCTAGCACTTTGAAAATCCATTTCGATTTCTGTTTGCATTTGTCAGCCAAATGCTGGTTTGGTAACGTGTTCCAGAGACTTTTGACCGCTATAGGGAAAACAACGTACTATAACAGCAAAGTGCCTAGCTTGTTTTTTCCAGGTGATCTCCGCTGCTTTTCATGATCTGTCTTTCTTTTGACACTTGTTTACTGTATATTTGTTTATCTAAATGCCACAATAATTTTGGCTGTGATATGAGCAATGAAATGCAATCTTCGAGCAACAATATTTTAAGATAACAATTCTTTTAAGAGCTTTAAAGGCCATGACACATGAGGAGGTAAAACAGCAACATTTCTGATTGTGGTGATTCCTTTGTAAATTTATAATGAATGCTGAGATCAGATGTTCCACTCGAGAGGGCAAATACAGTTTTGACCCTGATAAACTTTGACCTTTAATTTTGCTCTGCTGACCAAAAGCAAGCTGCCTTGACAGTGTTGACCTTTGAGGGCACGGTGAGCTGGAGAGGAAGCTATTGTAGCTTATTAGCTGTGTTGCACTTTTCATCCTACACTATGAATCCCAGTTTGTTTGCCCTGTTGGATTTGAAATACTTAAAACCAGCAATTAACAAAGTTTCAAAGAACCTGAGTGAGACATGCAGCAGATCAAGTCCAGAACCAACCCTTTACCTCAACTATTCTACCAATGAAAACGCCCATTAGATAAAGTGTAATTTGATATCCCAGACATGTAATAATAACAAATGCATCCATAAACAAAATGAGGACCTGCCAGTCTGTCACTTTAAAAGTTATTCTCGGCTAAATTCAAAAACAGAGTCATCACGTCTGAGCTTCTCGCACATCGCCTCCCCAAAATGAAGTCATACTGAAATTGCATTCATCAAACCGTAACCAAGTTGATCGCAGGAAGTCCTCCGCTCAGCGTGAATGCACAAAGTCATCACTTCAGTTGGCTGGCAGCAGCATGCAGTATATGAGAGGCATCCATTCATATTAGCACCCCATCCACTCGTATACCTCATAACTCACACTCTATGGGCTACTCCAGACTGATAATGGATTCCTGACTTACTGTGTGTGTGTGTGTGTGTGTGTTACTTTCTGACACTCTGACCTCTCTTGTGGTCACTCTGTGTGTAGCAGGCCAAACAAGCTTGTGAATACACACTAGTACAGATGCAAACAGAATCAAACTAAACTAAGAAGAAGTGAACTGATCTACGATCCTAACCATTAAAAATTCATAAGAGCAACAACAGAGCAAAGATTCAGAAGAAATAAAATAAATGACAGAAGTGACCATCAATTTACATTCCAGCCCTCATTAGCGATCTTCGGCTTCAGGTAGTGACCAAAACAATGAAGTGAAGATCCAACAGCCAAAATCAAACCAAATATTTTATGCATTACTTGTGCAACTGTCAAAAGAATCAAGTTCTGCTGTAAAGATAACACATCCGTATAGTGTTGCAGTGATCAGTGGATGATATCCAACACCAGGCTATAAATAAACTCTCATTCTGGGGGAGTCTATATGTACAATTGCTCTAAAGAGCCCAGAGTAGGATTGCTGTTCCTTTGCATTAAGAGGAGCCAGTTTAAGTGGTTGGTTTTATCTGATCAGGATGCCGGTATATGACGCCTCCCTCCGGAAATATTCCGAGCACATCGACCTGATAGGAGACGCCATGGGAGACCAAGATGCTGGAGGGATTACATATCCCATCTGGCCTGGAGAAACCTTGGGGTCCCCCAGGAAGGGATGGAGCACACTCATCGGGTGAAGGGCATCAGGGCTTTGAGTGTAGTTTGCTCCAGCTGCACTAGATGGATGGATCAATTGAGGTGTGTGTGTGTGTGTGTGTGTCTGTGTGTGAGTGAGTGCGCACCTGCAACCCAGCGCCCCCAAAGAAGGACTCTGCTTGTCATAGGTCATCTTTACCACCACCAGGTTAAAGGTCAAAGGTAGACAGAGGTCACTTCAAGGGTCATATGACCCGTGAGTAATGACGTTCCGTAGCAGGAACTCCACTGGGGAGAGCCTCTTTGCTTTTTCCCTGTGGTTTCATGTAAGCAGAGTGCACACATGAGACTGACTGCAGGGCCACTGATGCTCAGATTTGTCTCGAGCAAAATAATAGCTTCATGCAGTACAGATTAAAAATGATACATTTAATTTGCCGTGGAAGTTACTTTATTTTGCAAATACACTAAAATAAAGTGAGATAAACTTAACACTTACCAGAGACACTTGCAATAACTGCACCATGCAGAAATAGTCCTAATGTGACCCTTTTTTTACTTCAACTTTTCTATTTTCACACAGCGGAGCCTCCTCATCGATTGTGGAAATACACCGAGCAAAAAACCCAGCCTCTGTTACAAATGACTCCCAGCCCCACTCATCCCTCTTGAGCTAACCTTTCCAGGTTTATTTTACGGGCTCGTGGACGACTGAAACGTTCATTCAGTGAGGTCAAGTATTTATGTTATATAGGTTTTAATGTAAGAGCAGCAAATGACCAAGAAGTGCGTCTCTTGTGCAGAGCTGAACTCTATTTCCATTTCACTTGCTGTGAAGTGTCTCCTTCTCCCTCTTTGGAAGTAGCAACCAATGAGGAGAAGAGAAGAGACAACAGGAAGAAAAAAAACAGAGCCAATAGCGCAGAGTGAAGAGAAGCAGAAAATAAAATGGAACAGAATAAAAAGGAAGGGAGACTAGCACTGTTGTTCTGGCTGCTGTTGATTTTACTTCTCCTCGGGCACTCGGAGAGAAAAAAGGGATAGAAAAACCAACCAAATAAAGAGTCTCAAGTAGATAAAGACAGAGCACTGAAAGCAATGGTTACAAACCTCACAGAAAATTAGATAAGGGCCAAATCACAGCAAACCCCTGCTCTTTCAGGGAGGAAGAAAAAGGCAGAGAAGAGGTGGATGTAGAAAAGAAGGACAAACACAAAGAGACAAAGTCCTGGAGCAGTGAGAACAGCAGCAAGCACGCTCTTCACTCCAGCTGTCAGAGGGAGACATTAAGGGGGAAGAAGAGGGGGATGTAGGAGGGTTAATAAGAGAAAGGGCTATGGAGTGAGACAGAGGCTCAGAGCACCAACAGCAGCCAAAGCCAAAACAATCAAAAACATCTCCTGGCAGCCAATGTAGCACTCGGTGCACTCCAGGTGAGATGTTTCAGATCAACACCATGCTAGAGATTGTTTGCAAAAAGACAGAGGGTCTGAGCTCTCGGCACAACACCTCGTTGCTTTAAATGCTCCGGAGAAAACCAAAAAACATATAACTGATCTGCACAGCTGGCACAGATTCAAACGCTCAAAGCAGCAGCAGATACAGAACAGGAAGATGAGACCCCGAGAAGAAAAACCCAGAAAGAAAAATGTCAAAAGTGCTTGATGCCTACTTGGAAAATTCAAGCCAAAACATGTTTGTATGCTGCCAGCGAATCAAAACTAAACATCTATTTGTGTTTGGTAACCACTATGGATTTGTTCACTCAGCTGGCTCCACTGCCCATAGCTTAAAAAATGGTAAGAACCAAGAGGCAGAGAGATAGACTGATAGCATCGCAAGAGATTAAGCTGTATACCAGATAATGTGTGTGTGTGTGTGTGTGTGTCTGCTCTTCATTTCTTCCTTTTTCTGCCTCCTCTTCTCCATGTTTACTCTCCCAAAGCACAAAATGTAACATTTGGTGTCATGTGATATTGGACTTGCTCTATGCAGGACAATTTACTGACAAACACCCAGAAGGCCCATTTGGTGTATTTAACAACACCAATGTTGAGATGCAAGAACACAAACCACCTGATCAGCAAAAGTCGATCAAAAAGCTGGAAAAAAACAAACCTGATGCCCTTGAGGAGTTATGGTTTTAACGGATGAGTCAAAACCAACTTTGAAAAGATTTTGAGTTCCAAGGCAAACTGTCTCCGACAAACACGTCCTGAATATTTATGCAGAATCTACCGTTTTGGCTCATTGGTCGACGATCTCAATATGCATATTTTTCTTTTGACTTTGTCTATTTCCGTGCCTATTTTTGGTTTGTTTGCCTGCACAATGTGGCACATCTCTCGTCTTTTTGCTGGGGAACAAAAAAAAGAAAAAAGCATAGCTAATGGTGTATTCATGAGGGGAATGTAAACTGGCGGTGAAAGACAAGTGAAGCTGGGTGAAGTAGAGGAGAAGAGAGGAGGAGGAGAGCTCCTCCAGAGGGTGAGTGATGTCTGAGGGTGGAAAGCCAAGTGACATTCGTTATTGGGTGTTGCATGAAAACAGGAGAGTGAGATCTGGTAAAGACCATGTGTCCTCTATTCCACCTCACACACACACACACACACACACACACACACACACACACACACACACACACACACATACTGTACATTGACACAGAAAAACATACAACACACATGAAATTCTAATCAAGATGAATGTGATTTATTCTTCAAAAAGAACGTGCAATTATTTAACAAGACAACTACATTATTGCTTCAATACCACCATTTTAACGTGTGTGTTTACGTGTGCGTGCGTGTGTGTGAAAGAGTAAACCCTAAATGATTAAAGGGGAGAGTTGCACCTAAATGTCAGCCTGTAACGCCTGTAATTGGCTAAATTAGTTTCTGAAGTGATGGATGTTGATAATTGTCTTGCTCCATTTGCTTGTTTGTTGTCCCAGCTCACAACAGTGCGCCCCCATGTACAAACACAGCCCTTGTGTGCTCCCAAGATCAGATCTAGACTTTCAATCTGGCTGCAGCCTCCATGCAGAAACGTTTTACTCTATAGGTCTGCAGATTAGACTTTGTGTCGGTTCATCGCTTGTTTGGAT